ACCGAAGCAGGTGACGCTACACCAACGCGGCACCATCGTGTACCGCACATTATGTCATCATTTTTGTGGGCCCAACTGTCTCAACCGCCCCTTAAAGATATTTTGCATTAAATGCGGCCGAACATGCCTCGAGATACGAACCCAATAAAGTTACTATAAGTAGCTAAAATTATTTCTTGTACAAGGACCGAATTCTGGAGATTCTCTACAATCTTGCACTAAAAACAACTCGGTTCACCATACAAACCTACTTCTTATACTCTAATAAAAATGCGAATTACCCGAAATTCTCGTGCTTTTATGTTAGATTACTTGTTAATTATGTTGTTAGAAACATAACAACACAAGGGAGTGTCGATCGTAGAGGTTTTGGTGGAGATTCGGTGAAAAACAGTTCAAAGGATTTTGACTGTATCGATAAAAGAAAAATGAGTCAAGTTAATCTTACAAAAATGGGCCTAAAATTAAAAATATGTGGTCTGGGCCGAATTTAATACTTTGGGCTGGAAATAAATTGCAGTCGGCCCGGACAAGATTTGAAAAAGGCTAAGTATCAAACTCAAGGCTCGAAATTAATCTTATGCGAGTAAACGAATAGTTCAGACGATCTAACTAATAAATAAAATTAATCTAAACATAGCCATACACATAACAATAACAATAAAGTAAGTCACATAATAATACAAGAGCAATTAAAATAAACGAGACAATTATAAGAATTAAAATGCGAGCAATTAATAACATGAAATAAAAGCAAACAATTATATAATTGCAAGCAAATAAACAAATAAATACGAGAAAGTCATATAAATCGAACGAGGCACTACATATGTACTTGGACACAAAACAAATTTAATTTTTCTTAGCTAAAGAATTACTATAATTTTAGTAATCTAAGAAAATGAGGACATCTAGATAATTCAATTAGCTTATTAGTTTTTTTCACTGTTCTAAAAGTCGGCCTAGGCGGCCGCCTAGGCGGCGCCTAGGCGCTAGGCGGTGCCCGGGCGCCTCCGATTTGCACAAATCGGCAGAAAAAATCGGTGAGGCGGCTAGGCGGCG